CAAAGTGCATTCAAGAACCATCAAAAGAACGGTGAATAAATTTTAAAAAACTGTGAATAGTAGAGAGGAAAAGTAGATCAGGAGGAAACAACAGGAAGAGAGATCATCATTTCAAATTACAACTAAAGGTATCAATTAGAAAAGATCCAACTTAGTCCATAAGAAGTTTGGCACGTGAGAGAGGAGTTTCAGCTACGACAGTTCAAGGAACATTGGAAAAAGACTTGAAAATGAAATCGTACGTGAAACGTGTGAGACGTCTTGTTACACCAGGACAGAAAGTTAGAAGAGCGATGATCATCTTTAATAAGTTGGAACCTAGAATCATATATATATATATATATATATATATATATATATATATATATATATGAACTTAATTTAAATCCTTCTTGAGTTTCTGATCTTTATCTACGATTAATTAATGATGAACATGTCATTTTCGTTAATGATCGATTTCATAGATGATATAATTTTGTATAATTTTATATATCAACAAACAATATTTAGAAAATATGACACACTGGAAAAGGTTTTTTTGTGATTCGTTTTATCCGTTAGCAATTCATCGGGCTGGGCTTTGATGATGTTGCCATATCTACACCTGCTCACGAAACGAGAGACGCAGATAGTTTCAAAATTTTTTGAAAATATTTTTTTAAATAATTTTCTTTTTTCTCAATTCAGCCGAAGTCATCAGTAGTATTTTTCTTTTTCTTCATCTCTCGACCAAATTTGTTCTTGATTAACCCACACTGTGACAATATAAAATCTACGAAGAATAGTGATGTATTGTATGAGCCTGGACGCAGATTTATTGATGGCTTGTTCACCCACAATAAATTCTCTAAAGTGGTGTCACTCAAGATATTGTTGTCGGAAGGCAACTATCATTTTTTTTCGCCCTTAATCGCGGAAGGAGTCGTTTTGGTGGAGGTTATGGGGCAACCGCCAGTTTCTACCATCTGGCGCGGTCGTTTGCCAGAACCTGGCTCTCTGCGAATATATATCCCTCGATACTGCCATTCGACTTTTTCTTCATTTTTTCCCTCCTCCTACGTCCTATGACGGTTCCTTAAGGGCAATCCGATCTCAGCTTCCTTTTCGTCACTGTAGTGAGAAAGTCTTCGTGGGGGCCAATGTGCTGCTGGATTTTACTACGCACCTTCTTGTTGGTGATGTGGTCAAAGTATGACATACCCACGATGGTGCGAAAACATCTCATTTCCAATGCCTGTAAATTTCTTTGTAGCTCAGCTCTAAGCGTCCATGTCTTGCATGCATACAAGAATATAGAGAATACCCGTGCCCACAGGAGCATAATCTTGTACTGCATAAGAATGGTGTTACTTCTCCATATGGTCTTCAGCCTAAAGAATGCAGGCAAATATATACTACTATAAAAGACGCTATATTTTACAAATAGATGCTTGTGTTCTTCTCGTCTGAACTATAATCTCTTGCTGTTCCGGGATACACCACAATTTCCACTACTATCACCACCACTAACAACAACAACGATAATAATAATAATAATAATGATAATAATAATAATAATTAGTACATGGGAACATCAACAATCCCTGTTGTAATTGAAGCCCTAGGTGTGGTTGGAAATGGAAGAGTAATTGAAGGGATTCCTGGAAGTCCATGCCTCAAAAAATACAAATTGAATTGTTCTCACAAGTACAGCACACACTTTACGAAGAGCTTTATCTATGTAATTTTTTTTGTCAGTGGAAAGTGTCATGATGACATTTTTGACCTTAGGTCTCTGGGCGGGAGCCGGAAAGAGATGTGTACAGGCCAGAAATCAAAGGAAATAAAAATAATAATAATATTCACCGAATAAAAAACTCTGTATCATAATATGAGCCAATATCTACGCCGGGAAATCCGAAACTTTCACGGAAAGAGAACTGAAAGAAATTCTTATCAACACTATTCAAACCCGGTGACGGGCATAGTGCCTTTAACGGTTGTATGAATCTTTACAATACACACAGATAGAAAAATCAAGTTAGTAATATTTTGCCGTTACTTTGGCACAAATACTTTCAAATATGTATTGCTATAGCATTGTTGTCTGGTTGCGTTGGCCCGTTTTGGATAAAAAAGAAGAAAAAAAAACAGGAGACCGCCAATTACCGGAAATAAATGACATCGAAGGTGCTGACAGCCATTTCAAATGGACGCCATCATTTTGCTTTCGATCGGATAATCACTAGTACAGACGAAAGTCAACGACAGTCGCAGCATATAATATAATGAAAAATACTCTATAAACCTGGTTGTATTTTAAACTACTATGTCCTCCGAAATTAAAAAAAAAGTTCCATCTGCAATTTTTGTAGTTTTGAGTTATTTGACTTCAAAGTTTGGTTAACCAAATAAATCATAAATCGAGAGAAATACTAAATATAATGTTCTCGGGATTAATTAACGATTTTTGTACAAAACTAAAGTGGCCATTTAGGATATTGTGGAGCGAAAATGCCACGGGCCATAACTCAACAAAACCAAAAATTACTGTTAGAAACTTTTTAATTTCAGGTGATGATATGTTTTCTATGAATTGGAAATAACAGTTAAGTGCTCAGTATAATGTTTGAGAGTGTCTTGAAAACTAGTGTTTCTATCGATAGCAGGTAATACAAGATGTCCCAAAAGTCACCAAGGTATTTCAAAATTTAATAACTCCTTTATATTTTAATCGTAATTCACAATACCATAGTATTATATAGAGCATGAATGGGAAATAAATTTATACTAGTTGCAAACGATTACCTCTTTTAATTGTCGTCCATTTTCAGCTTCGCATGAACACGACGTTTCGAAGGCATTTTCTTTAACAACCCTCAATGTTTCAGACTCTAGTGTTTTAATGTCTCTCTGAATGTTCTACTTCAGTCGTTGGAGAATCTGTCGCTTGTTGACATAAACCTTTTCTTTTGTGATAGCCACATAGGAAGAACTCTGATCCGGAGAACGTGGAGGCCAGTTTGTGCTGAGATCCGGATAAATTATCCCTTTCTCCAAAATTTGCCTGAGAAGCTAGCCCCTTTCGAATCAAATGTTCCACCCTCTTTTTGTGCGGAAACAGGTTGATGTATTTAAAAATTCGTTGTAGTGGCGTCCAAGGTATCCAAACTTGTCGAGACCGGCTTCCAGATCTTCTTCAATTCTCTCGCTCAAATACTCCTTCGTTTCCTCACTGGATGTGGTATGCCACTTCGTGGACGGTCATTACCTGAAACCTTACTCTCAAAACTTGGACAGTTTCAAAACATTAATGGCGACGACATGCGCGTTCAGATTGAATTTTTGATTTTCGGCTTTAGTAGAAATGTTTCACTACTTGTGTTCATTTTTACTCGTATATTTTTACATGATTAATCTCCAAAGCCCTATTTGTAAAATAGCTGAAAGAAAAAAAATAGTTAATAAAGGAAAAAGTTATTAAACTTTCAGACCCCTTGAATACTTTTGGGACACCTTGGCAAGTCATTAAAGCAACCCCCTGCAGTGGAAGTATTAAACAGGAAATGTTGGTTGAAGATTGTAAGATTCTATAATAAAAATCTTTTAGCAAGAGTTTCCAATTCTATAGAAATTGATGCACATAACGCCAGTTTTTCCTCATTCAGTCGTAGGCAGTTGCTTCATGAATATGTATTTCAGTCTGATGTATTCGCATTAAAGTTTAAAATTCTGTCGTGTGGCATAATTCTACGCCTCTAAATAAACAATCTTAAGAATTAATGACAAATCGTAATAATAATTTGTTCTGTTGTATTTCATTCAAAAATGCTAATTGTTGGAAATCAGGGAATGTGGCTCTCTGGAATATAAATGAAATTTTCAAAAACAGCACAAAACCTTTGTCACAAAGTGTACAGCGAGTGAGTTAAAAAAATTAAACATTTTCTCGTATTATAAAAAATATAAACGTATTTCAGAAAAGAATATTTTTGCAAAATTAATGGTTCTTCATTAATCTTTGGCGAGATTCATAGGTTGACAATCGAGTAGACACAAAACGCGGGCTATTTTAAAGCAAGCTAAACAAAATGTAACAAAATAAAAAACTTTGAAAAACGCTGTGAGGTGCAGGTAGTGTAGCGGTTACCAGTCATATTTAGATCCGATATCGAACTCCGGCTTAGTTACGTAATAAATAACTTTCGGAAAGGCATAAACTATCTCTTCTAAAGCTATGGTATAAGAAGCAGTCCGATAAGGTTCTCTAGCCTTGGTTGTTAACCAGTGTAGAAGAAAGGTAATTATGTATTCAAAATCAGTTAGTGTGCTAATGGGCTGGCAGAAGATTGGTTGATAATCTTTCTAGATATGGCGAATCGATAAATAAATAAATAAATAAATAAACATCCCCCCCAACAGTCTGGGTCACACGTGGGGATGTTTAACCCGAAAACCTTAAATTGACTCAAATTCTTAAATTATGTGAATTGCAGAATATGCTGTAATACTTCTATGTTCAGAAGTAATATCGCAAAAAAACGTTATGTAAAAGTTACATCTTCGTATTGTACCGTTTCGTATATATTTGAGTTGGGTAAACATATAACCACGTCTAGCCATGAAGTAATTGTTAGAAATCTGTTTTCCGAGATTGTAAGTATTGATTTCGATCCTCACATGGTTCTCCTGATTTTGCTCTTCTACACAAAGAATAAACTCATGAAATGATCGTACATAGGCTTATATGTCATAATTTTTATCACAATATTCACAATGATATGGTTTGTAAACAACCACTGTCAATCAAATCCAACTTCTAGCCTTGTCGAGCACAACTTAGCTACTAAGCATCGCGGAACTCTTTTGTCACTAGCGCCTTAAGACAGACCCCATCAGCCTGGGTAGGTAATCCGCCGAAGGGACAGAAAACCCCAAATTCAAACCTCCTCTACCTTCTGTTTATATCCAATAATGGAAATTTGTACGGAATTATATCCAGATGTTTACAGTCACATAAAGTTGAAACATCGGTTCCCATACGATCACGGAAGTTAAGCACGGACGAGCCTGGTCAGTACCTACATGGGTTACCGCTTGGGATTACCAGGTGCTGTAAGCTTGCATAGTCGGGTGGTTTAATGGGTAATATTAATCGGAAATCAGAGTTCCAATTTCAGTTGAGCTTGTTATATTCACTTAACCGGGGTGCAGGTAGTGTAGCGGTTAGCAGTCATATTTAAATCCGATATCGAACTCCGGCTTAGTTACGTAATAAATAACTTTCGGAAAGGCAGAAACTATCTCTTCTAAAGCTATTGTATAAGAAGCAATCCGATAAGGTTCTCTAGCCTTGATTGTTAACCAGTCTAGAAGAAGGATATCTATTCAAAATCAGTTAGTGTGCTAATGGGCGGGTAGTAGCTTGGTTGACAATCTTTCTAGATATGGCGACTCGATAAAAAAAAATAAAATAGGAAAATCACCCATCCCCCAACAGTCTGGATTCAGGATAGGTAACCGCTTGGGATTACCAGGTGCTGTAAGCTTGCTTAGGCGGGTGGTTTAATAGGTAATGTTAATTGGAAATAAGGGTTACAATTCCAGTTGGTCTTGTTATATTCACTTAAGCGCAAATGCCCTTGGGAAAGAAATGAATCCACCATTTCTTCCCTAGCTATGATTAATTGATAAGACTTGTATCATTAAAACCATTATTAACGCCTCTTCCCCCGACAAAAAAAAAAAAAAAAAAAATTCTTACAATCAACAAATATTTTCTGACTAGAGTCCTTAAGAACATTGGTCGACAATACTGACACCCTTCCGGAATTTTCTGCATTTAAACTGATCGCAAACTGTCGTGTCCCGCACTCCTTTGAATTTTATTCGTGTCGTTATGAATATTGAATAATTAACTCACAGTTGAAGAGGAGGCCATAGTACTCTCAGTATCTTACTATAGAACCTTGTTTCTGATGATAAAACAGAAACACAGTTCTATAGAATGATGCTTAGAATGCTATGGTCAGGGCATGTGAGCCATGAGATATTTTTCAGACGAATGGCCACTTGTATTTCGAATTGAAATCTTTGGGTAACATAAAGAAGTTAAAGGGCTTCGAAGTTTTTACACTCGCGTGATATGCTGAACGCAAACGCGACAGAAGGTAAAATGAAGTAACCTCCCTAATACGCTTGAGTAAATAGATGGCAGTATAGGAACTATGAGTTACAGTAACCTACAAAGGGCAAGAAGAGCCATGATTGCTATCGTTTTAAAGCGACTCTGCTAATGAAAGAACAAAGAAACATATGCCATAAAAGTAAAGCTAAATATTTAATTACGAGAACAAGAACAATTATTTATTAAAATAATAACCTCGTCGCTTCGTGAATTTGGTAGAAGAGTAATTATGAGTTCAATCCCTCGACTGGGTAGAAAACAGAGTGAGAAATAACTGAGCACTACTAAAATAGACAAGATATTCTTAAACATGGAACGAATTTACGCCCGTAGTCTTGAGCGCCTATCGGGGCTTAAATTCAAACCAGAGCTTATACATACGATCTATCGTTAAAGATGCTAGAAAAAATGACGGTTCCTTTACTAAGTACCTGACTCCTACTGCTTTCCCCTACCATTACAAGTGACAGATCAGATCAGACCATATATGGGCAGGAGCTGCCCAGTCTCGATAGTGTCCATAACTGTTTCCGCGTCCTTTTGGGTGACAAATTATTTTCAACCCTAGAACCCATTTTCCCAGACGAAACATCGCAAGCTTCTCACTGCTTTATCGCTAATTCCATGGAAAGTGCTCAAGCGAACTATATTCCTTAGTTCCACCAGTTCTAACCTTTAAGGCTAAGAGCCTGTATTCTACGCACATTGTAACGAACCAACTACATTCCTTTCCAATCAAGTAGCTTATTCCCCTGAACCCCTGCTCTGTGGGACCAATTCATAAAAGGGTGTTTTCCCGATCATTACAATCTTAACCTATTCATATCTATTATTAACCATTATCTTTCCCACATATCTGTATAAGCTGTGCCTCTTACTTTGCAACCCTTTACCTTAAGTGGTTCCTGAGCCTTGTACAGAATTAAATAAACGATTCAGTTCGAAATTCTCTGATGGTTACACGGAGCAAGCTGTGACAATAATGACAAGAGAAATATGGACATTAGACTAAATGCAAATAAGGAATTATGCTGTGTGATAAGTAAGACGGGATGTCACTTAAACCCAATGAAAATGGTGACTTTATAAGCGTAGCTTAGATGTGACAAAAGGCAGAAAAATATTGAGCAACCAGTGAGGATCGAACTCGCTTCTAACTGTTTGGGTGAGAAAGTATGTATGATTATAATCAGAAGTATGTATGATTATAATCAGAAGTTTTTCATTAAAACATGAGTTACCTACTCGGCCGCTATTTCTAATAAAAAACAAAACACGGGTTATTTAAACAAAGAAGTTTCATTCAGAAACAATTCGTTAACGAAGCTAAAAAAAAATATAGCACATATTTTTCGAATAGATTAGTGTAAGGCTCACATTTTTTTTTTTCAAAGGCGCACATTTTGGGGGGCTGTCTGTAGATCATCCTTGATTTTAATTACCCAAAACCTTTGTAATTCTGGTTTGGCTATCAACTCAATGTATTGCGTTTAATTTATAGAGACCTGTTCTTTAAGCTGTGTTACTCAATTGAACTGAAGGGTTTAATTTCAGGGCTACTCCCAGATGTATGTAGCATACCAGAAATCAAGACCGGTGTAACAAGTCAATTTAAACCTTTTTCGTAGGTACACGCGAATTTCCAACACTGAAACTTTCTATCGTCAGAATCCAACTATGCACATTTGCAAATCTATCATCCGCCCGTGCATTAAATACAGTCGCCATATTTGGTCTGGGGCCCCTGTTATTCATCTCGATGTTCTTCACAAAATTCAAAGACACATCTGCAATGTAATCGATCCTGACTTGGCACCTGGACTTCAGTCACTTTCTCACCATCGTGATATGGCTTCCTTCTATCTTTTCAGCAAATATTTCCATGGCAACTTCTCTGTCGAGCTTTTTTTTCAATGGTGCCCCGACAACTTGAATTTAAGCGTGCTATTAGATTGGCATCTAGGTCCCAGACGTTTTACTGTTGAAATACTTAAATGTAACCTCCACTTCAAATCCAACATTTTCTTGTTTCGGAATTTCCATTTATTTGCTTCAAAAATTTGAATGCAACGTCAATTGCAATCTTCTATATCCTTGAATCCCGTTCATCTTTTTTCCTTTCCTCAGTCCTCCCTATTCACAGTCTTTTCTCTCATTTTCACACTCTCTAACCCTCTGCGTACTAGTGGCCTTCCCGCCTTGCTTAGACATTCAACGGCCGTATAGCATTATCATTGGAGTAGTTTGAATACCAATTATTGCTTATTTTATTGTCACAGATCAATGCGTTAGCATTTTCTATTTATTTTCTCCAGAGAAGCAGAGGAAGACTAAATTATACAAATAGATTCTGAACAGTTGTCAGTTGTTTTTGTCGTACGTGGTATGAATTTGGAGTTTAATAAAATGTGGTGTTTATGAAAGAAAACTGAGTGATATCATTTTAGAAAAATAACATTTCTCCGTGAAAGACCACTAGACCTCATCGAGGACGTGCACACACACACACACACACACACACACACACACACACACACACACACATATATATATATATATATATATATATATATATATATATATATATGTGTGTGTGTGTGTGTGTGTGTGTAATAGAAAAGTGAAAATAAGCATAAAAGAAGCGGAAGGACAAATAAACGAAATTCAAGACTATAGCGATTCTCTCAGTTTTCTGAAAAGACTTGGCTGAAGTGGGCTTTTTTTTTCCTGCACCACGATTTATTGATTTAACGTGTATTTTGTTTGGACTGATCTTTCGTTTGTGACTTTCAGGTTTTCACTGGAGCAACCTAATAAAGTTGTTTCATCAGCTCATGTCTGTGTTTGCTGGGTTGAGACCAGTTTCCGTGCAGAATCAAATGGCCCAAAGAAACAAAACCGTAGACTTCAATTTGATTCTCCCAGGAGGCTGATTTCTAATATTGAAACAATCACAACCAACAGTAAATTCACATTCGTTAAATACGTATTCCTTAACAAGAAAGGAAATATTTGGAGCTGTGTTGTCGGGCCTTTCACTGTTGATTCTGGTTTAAATACAGACAGGCCAAACTTCGCATAGGACTCACTAATATTACGCCAATATATATATATATTAAAAGATGAGGAACCTCCAGTATGTATGGGATGTCTGGAAAGGTATGGGTAAAGCATATACTGATTTTATGTGTTGACTTCAAACTAATCCGTGGAATATATTACAGACCAAGCGATTTTTTAATAAACCAATAGTTAATATTTGTTAAAAGCCTGTGAAGGCTACACAATTTAATAATTCCTAAAAATCTTAAAGCATGTGTAACACTTGCATAAACACAAACTTATTACCAACAAACAAGGAGCAGAGAAAATAAAATCTTCTTCATACTGTGTCCCTTCAGGACGTTGGCGATCATAGTTCTCCACCATTTTCTGTTCTTTTTAGCTCTTAGTAAATAGTGTCTTTTTGTCATCTCTCCTAAACTCTGTTCTGCCATTGATCTACGCAAGCTTGTTAGGTAAGTTATTCTCTGTCTTTCTTTCTCTCTCTTTCTCTCTCTCTCTCTCTCTCTCTATCTCTCTTTTTCTCAGTATGTGCTCTAGGTGTCAAATTTACCAAGCCTACTTTCCTAATTATGTACTCCAGAAATTTCAACTGTCTCTGTCTCAAATATATATACTTAAAGCTTAAATATATATAGGGAATATATTACCATTTCACTGGGGTAATTTAAATATTAAAACACACAAATACACACACACGCCCGCTTTCCTAATTATGTACTCGAGAAATTTCAACTGTTTCTGTCGAATGTTAATGTAAAGCTTAAATATATATACGGAATATATTACCATTTAACTGGGTTAATTAAATATTTACGGTTTTACACACACACAAATGAACGCACACACAAATGAACGCACACACAAATG